AAAAAAAAAAAAAAAAAAAAAGATTGGCTAAAGATACTGGAATTCCTTAGGCCTAAAGTGAGGACTGGACAAGCTTTAACAATACTGGTTTGCATCAAATCTCAGCTGACAGGAGCCACCCCTTGAAAAGGGAAGGTAGGTCTCTACCTGCTGCCAACCGCGCAACCAAATGTTAGGATGCCTCTTGTACTCTGTATAGCTTTCCACTAAGATCATGGCTGACCTTCCTTGTCCTTTCTCCCATCCTTTTGACAAGGTGTTAATGGAATTCGCAGATGCATTGGAATCTGACAGGCCTCAGCATAAGCACTTCTGCTGTGGCCTCAAACTTGTGACCTTTGAGCTGTCAGCCATGCAACTTCATGCCCACACTACCCCAGCCTCCTGATCAGGGCTGATACTGTAACTAATTCCTTATTGACCAACTTGTTTCTACTGTTAGCTTGCAGAGGATTCAAAATCTGTATCCCAAAAATGACACAGCTTCCTTGCTTATAGTTTGTATCTCTGGAGTATTTCCTCCATTTCTGTGGAAGTTCATAAGCTTATAATAATGCTGTAAAACTGTTAAGATAAAAAACTCACCAACCTTTCAGAGCTTAAGCACACTGAATGAAGAAGAAATGATACAAGTCTGAGGGCTCAGTCCTGCAAGTCTTTAGTTCATAGAACTCACTGTTTTCCCGCAGGAATGTTGTGTGCCACGAACATGCAGTAGGTGAGCCTTTCATCATTTACTGAGGCATAAAGAGTGTGTGCTTGAGAGGGGGGAAGTGATTGTAAAGTAAGGCTGTTGTCAATTTACATTAAGCACAGATGTGACATAACTTGAGTAGCAACCGTTGAGCATAGATCATGAAAGTGCAATAAATGTGGGTGCTGCAATGCCATTATGGATCCTCATGAAGCCAGGCCTTTCTAAAGCAAAGCAAGGGTGGACATAGTGCTGAAAGTGACTGTTGAATGTATAGAGATGCTGTGCAATATCCAGGTTAAAAAATGACAGTTTCCAGTTGTCATAGTCCAGCAGGATACCAATCCTTTTTGGAGGAACTGTAATCCTAATGTCTGGTGTTGTCCCACTATGCAGAAATTCATATTTGTGCCTGCAAGTGGAAACAGGAAGGGGAAGAACAATTCTTGACACTCAGCATGTTTGAGAAGGAAGTTGCGTTCCTCTGAGTACATGCAGGCCAGGCCCATCCTCCCACAGCAAATGGACCACCTCACCAGTCCAAGACTGGATGTGCAGCCTTATTCTTCCCACAGTCTGGGTCTGTTTTGGAACAGATTATACAGGATATTTTGACTGCAGTTGTATTCACCATCATTTACAAAGGGCCAACGTCTCCCCATCTGGAAAAAGTCAGAGGAAGAAATTGGCCTCTTGTGTTTCTCTCATCTATGCAGAATACACAGGGGTTTGACCTCCAAGCACTGAGGGCTGGAGGTCCAACAGCCACCTTCACAATTCCTGAGTCCACTTCCTACTCCATATATGAACTGTGCTGGACTCTCTGCCTTCCCCTTCAAATGCATAGGGAGATTCAAAGGGAGTTACAACTTGACAGAGAGCAGCATTTTCTTCTTAGATCTGCAATTTGATGATTGCAGGCTCTGGCAGGAGAAAGGCAAGAAGAATACGTACTCTGCTTTTCTGCTTGTCCTGGGCAAGCCCTTTTCCCCAGTTACTCACAGAGCCCAAGCACTGTGGTTACTTTAGAGAAGGTCCATGAAGCTGAACCAGGGGTAACTAGTGCTTTCTGAGTCTGGGGTGGGGCACAATTGCAGATCGGAAACTGCAGACTGGAAGCAGCTGGCCCAGCAAACTGTGGACCACCAGCCGGAGCACAGGTAAAGCTACCCCCAGCCCCTGGTGGGGGGTGGGCCCACGCTTCAACCATGGCTGCCATGGGCCCTGCAGGAGGAGCTGCAGCCTCTCTGCTTGGCTCTGTGGGGCCGCGGTTTGCCATCCTGAGCGGTGCTAAGTTGGGGGCCAGTCTCAGGGGGGACTTGTACCCCCTCTACCAGTCGCCTGTAAGCTGAACCATGCTTCTTGTGCTTTGGGAAGCCAACGTTCACTTTGCACGTGTGTTAGCAGATGCAAAATGTATTCTATCCAAAGCCATCTGAATTAATGGCTGGCTGGATGTCAGCCAGAGTAATATCTGCACCTGCTTACAAAGCCACTTTTCCTATCAGCATTTCTCAACCCATAGGTAACAACGCAAAAGTGGGTTGCAAGAATATATAAAAGGATCGCGATCAAACTTTAAAAATGAATTGTCCTTTAAAGGAGAAAAGTATGGGAAGCCAGGACCCATTTGTAAATATTGATGGCTAGTCCAAACCCAGAGGTCCACACACCCACCCCTTGCCCTACACACTGGGGTGGGGCTGAGGCCTTGGGGGCATAGGGGGCAGCAGATTGGGAATGAGGGACACTGGGTGAGGACTGGCCATCAATGTTTACAAATGGGTCCTGGTACAAAAACAGTTGAGAACCACTGTTTTAGATAGCATCTCGGGCTGCTCATCCCAGAGGAACTCCCACCTTAAGTGGAGTGACACTACTAAGAAGTTCCTCTGAGCTTCAGCCGCTGCATGTTCATGTCCCTCATTTCCAAGAAGATGAGCTTTTTACGTCATGGCTCCTAGGGCACAAGTAAAAATCGCTGCAATTGTCACTGATTGGAACATTTAATGGAACACACGGTGTCTAATGCAGCCAGACCTTTTCTTCTCCATTAAGGCACCATTTGAATAATGCAACAAATGCTCAGACACTCAATACCCTTCCTACATGCAAAGTGTGACAGTCAAAAATACAAGTGGCTTAACAGTGAAGGGAGGTGGAGTCTGCAGCCCTCATTTCTTCCAGCACTAATGAATAGCTGATACAGCGTCTCACAGGGTCCAGCTTCTTCCTCAACCATCCTTGCCTGCACCAGTTCAAAGGGTTGGCAGCTTTTCACAGGGAAATGTCTCAACATGACGCAGAAGGGGTTTGCCCTAGTTAGGTTTTCTTTTCCCTAAAATCCTTATGAAATACCTCTAGAGTAGGGGTTGGCAGCCTGCAGAGGTGAGGCTTTGGCAGCATTTGGCTGTGGGAAGAGGTGGGGCAGGGGATTGGAGGGGCACCTTCAGTTCTCCATGTGTCACTATAGCGACAGATGCCAGTTGCAGGCACTCTTCCCTCTATGCTGCCCTGAGAAGATGTGCTGGATGTGGACAGTTTTTCCTGTGGGGCTGGGGAGACTGGCTTAGCCTAGGTATGGTCCAGTTAGAGGTCTAGCTTAATGTAGAAATGGAAAGCATAGAGACTGTCTGAGAACTGGTCCAAGACTGGATGCTTATGTACAGTTTGGCATTTTCTTTTGCTTTGTGGCAAAGCAGAGATGCTGTTCTGCAAGCACACTAACAACATGGCAAGGCCCTCCCATTCCTTAGTCCATGCACTAAGGGAGCTGAGTGCATAGGATTTAAGGCCCATCTTCTCCAAAGCAGGTTTGAAGTTACAGTGTCTGCTCCCTGCTTACCACCAGGCTAAGGGGTAGAACTTTGCCCTCTTCCTGAATCTGACCTGCTGCATCTTGCATTTAATAGTTATTAGGTAAATTAGAGTACAGATACTGCCAGTGCACTGGGCCTAGCTTGGAACCCACAGCCTCAACTTGACAGGGCAGCAGCCTTGTCACTGAATCACACGTACCTTCTGCTTTGTTTTTTTCCTCCTGGTCCTCTATACCTGCCTCTGTTGGCTGCTTAGCATGGAGGTTTCAAGAGGACAGATAGTAACAGCTGTGCATGATGTCCAGTCTGTACTCAAATGAGCAGAGTGCTTTACAAAGAGGCAGGTGATGCTGGTTCAGATCCTTGCTGCGCTGACATGTGAGAGCTGCTGTCTTCTGACTAGTTCTTGCTAGTTCTGGGACTTTGCCCCAGGGATGTGTGTGTCCTTATGCATGTAGCTGGTTGTTATTAACACCTATTGGTATTGCAGAGTCTTTGAGTAAAAAATCCATAACCAGTCTTAGGAGCAAGAGCCAGCACTCAAGCCCGCTTGTTCGGAGCAGGAGTCTCCCTCAGCTCCTACAATGCCTACAATGTAGGAGACAGTGAGGCTTCTACAATGCTTACTCTCCTTTTGGGCCCATGGCTGCCCTATAGGCCAGCTTCAAGAAGAGGATGAAGGGATGGAAAGCTCTCTCAGCCATGACTTGGGGTTTAGGGCATGAAGCTAACCCACAAATTGTATAGGTTCAAGTGAAGCTTAGAATCTGGGTGTCATGTCCTGGACAAGCCGGCTAACCCTTAGGCTGTGCCAGCAGTGTTGCCTACGTGGATCGCTAGCTGCCAGGACAAAAAAAGCTAGGAGAGCTACCTGTCTTCATAGGCACAACAGGGTGCCTCCCTGCACATGGTCATCTACAGCATGATCTTAGCAGCTGCTACATGCGCCATATAGTGGGTAAAACAGGCTTTAACCCTTGGGTGGGGGGGCACACTTTTGTAGCACTATAGATGCCCTTAGAGCAATACTGAACGCAAGCATGTTATGTGGTCAGGATGTCTGTGAGGTTATAAAAGCTGGTGGACTCCACCACAAATATGGCCAACAGAAACTTCTCTGTAGTGCTATGGTTTTATAATGTACATATAATGTGTGGACAGTTGCATGTAATGGTACGGGGTGGGGAGGAGTGCATCTCTTTATTCACTCCCTCCCTCTATAGTGCTGTCAGAGAGCTGCTGCTGCTGCTGCTCCAGGGGCACAGCAGCTCTTCTAGGGGATGCTGCTGTCACCACTGTAGCACTTTGTGCTACAGATAGACGCATGTCCAAAGCCTGAGGCCCTTCCCAGTTGGGTGTTACTTAGGACAAGAGGGGTTCAGAGTATGAATCCCAGTGTCACATAGGCTCCTGCTTCCAAGAGGATACCCTCCCCCTTCCCTCCCCTGCGTAGTGTTTCCTATTGCTTGACTTAGTCAGCTTCTTGCTTAGCGTGCTGGCTGTTATGGAACCCCAGTGCCTAATTCTTCCAATTAGATTACAGGACTTGCTAAGCTGAATTTGTGACTTCCAGCCCTAGAACAGGTAATCTAACTTTTAAGCAGGGGAATGCTCAATGCCACCTCATCCAAGTCCCTTTTTAAATCTTGTGCTCCTCTATTCTGGCCTTGCCAATTCCTAAAACTGAAGATGGAAATTTACAGCCACATATTTTAATGACTGGCTTAGTCTTCACTTAATCAGCCCCAGCAGCTAAGGTTCTAGCCACCATACATAAAGAGGAGCTACATTTGCTGTTGTTACCAAAAGAACAGAAATGTAGAACCATTACCTTGATGGCGTGAGAATATGCCTCAGGCACCACGATGAGTTGTTTGCCCCCAGGTACCCATGCCGGTGTGTGTTTTCATAAGCCACACCAACCCTGTATTCCATATCTTCTTCAACTTCCACTTCCCAGTAATGCTTTCCTTGGAATGGTATCATGCTTCCCAGGATAGCAATGCATCTGTGGAAAAGATGAGAGGCATGTCTTGTTTGTTTTAATATGCATTTAAAGGATGCAACTTTTGTGCACAAACATGAAATATTTACAAAGAAGAGTGAGGCGGACTGCTTCCTAAGCAACACAACCTGGCTCTTGCAGCTGCTATAAACTCATGCAGCTCAGCTGAGCAGCTGGCCCAGAGAAAGGACAAAGTAATCATTGACTTATTCTATGACATCCAATGGATTTTTAATGGCTGGACGTTTTTAAGTCAGCCGGCCCGGATGATCTTCACCCTAGAGTCCTAAAGGAACTCGCTGGGGTCATTGCAAGTCCCCTGGCATGGCTTTATGAACACTCGTGGTGCTCTGGAGAGGTGCCGGAGGACTGGAAGAGGGCCAACATGGTTCCCATCTTCAAAAAGGGAAGGAAAGAGG